CAGGTCTCATCAACTTCTTAAGAAAACCCACATGTCTGAGAAATAAAATAATTTCGAGGACATATTATGAAGCCTGCCATCATGCACTGATATATCGCGGTGGAATAACTGCGAAATAACTACCTCAGAAACGAGGAGAGGCCTGTATCTAACACTGGGACGTATATGATCTGTTACTCTACTTTTACATCATGGTTTCTTTGAACCCATGTTTTAGAAGTTTAGTAACAATAATTTCGGTTCCTGCTATATTGTGTGCAACTAGAGTTAACCGGGTAAATCCTGTCCTGACCGACTTTTAGACGAAACTTCGCCTGGGTTTCAATACAGACCGGATTTTTACCAAGCCGTGTAGTATAACATAAAAATCTAATAGCGCGATAAATGCAAGTTAATATGGCTTAAAAGTTTAACTATCTAGACGTATTCCTGAAACGCCGTACTTATTTCGCTTTACTAGGTACGACACAAAACCGAAAGATTACGGGGTGATTTAAAATGTACTCTACACCAATAATAATAAACACATACTAATTATAATTGTAAAATAATTATTACCTACATAATCACCATCAAGTTCAATACACTTTTGCCACCTCCCCTTCCAAGCATTTAGACCGTTGAAAAAAAAATGATTCTTCCTTAGAGTCAAAATATGCGTCTACAGCTGCTTTGACCTCGTCGTTTGTCGAAAATCTTTGACCTCCCAAGTGCTTTTTTAGGTTAGGGAACAGAAAGAAGTCTGATGGTGCCAGATCAGGTGAATACGGCGGATGCGGTAACAGTTCAAAGCCACAGTTGTGAATTTCAGCCATTGACTGTACTGACGTGTGAACACGGGCGTTATCTTGATGAAACAGGACTTTTCTTCTGAGCATTCCTCGACGTTTTTCTTTTATTTCCTCTCGTAAACGACGTAGTAAGGTGCAGTAGTAATCAGAGTTTATAGTCTGACCCCTTTCAAGATAATCAATCATAATCACACCTTTCGAGTCCCAGAATACTGAAGCCATCACCTTATTTGCCGACAAAATCGACTTAGCGTTTTTAGGGGGTGGTGAACCAGGTCTTCTCCACTGTTTTGATTGTTGTTTTGTTTCCGGTGTACAGTAATGAACCCACGTTTCGTCCATAGTAACAAAACGATTCAAAAAATCATCTGCATCGGCTTCAAATAACTACAAACAGTCGCGTGAAATAGTCAATCGCGTCCTTTTTTGTTCAACTGAAAGCAGTCGCGGAACCCACCTCGCAGACACCTTGTGGAAACCCAATTCGTTGACAATGATGTTTTGAGTTCGTTCATAAGAGATGCCTATAATCTCGGCTATCTCTCTAATTTTTAATCTGCGGTCTCCCATTATTAAATCAAGTACTTTTTTAATATTTTCGTCAGTAGTTGACGTCGAAGGCCTTCCAGAGCGGGGTTCATCTTTCACACTCTCTCTACCACGCTTAAATTCTGCTATCCATTTTTTGACGGATGAATATGACAGAGCACAATCGCCTAATGTACTGACCATGTCATCATGGATGGCTTTTGATGATAGCCCCTTCTTATGGAGGTACTTAATGACGGCACGCTGCTCGATTTGCTCCATTCGCGGAAATTATGTCCGATTACTTTGTTAATAAATTTATAAAATCACAACTAATTATCGCACACGTTTCGAACTTCACACAATGAACTAGTCTGAACTGAACTAAATAATGTGGGTAGATTTGATTTTTAGAATTGAATGGATCTGTGTTAGGCCGAGTACTTTTCAATCCACCCTCGTATTTACGATTTAAAATGTAATTACATTTCCAATAATCATAAAATATAATTATAATTGTAAAATAATTATTACCTACATTGTTTTATGAATAATAATAATAACAAAATTATGGGCCCTCGACAAGCCCGTCAAACTTGTAACACCGCCAGTGACGGTAATCGGCTCAAGCGGCTCAGAGAACGGACAGGTGCAGCCGAACGACGCCATATTTTAATTTTCAACTAATTTGCGCGCTTCAATACAAAGCGGATTGCGAAGTTGATAATTAAGCGAACGGAATCGGAAGCCATGTTTAATGTCACGGGCCGCAAAGCGGGACATTCGCTGCGCGATTTCTTGATATTGTTAATCTTTCGCAAATAGGCCCCTCTTCGTGATAAATAATAATAGTAGTAACAATAAGGCGGTGCTCCTCGATGCCGCCCGTATCGTCCGCCGATTACTTTCCCTTTTCTCCTATCCCTCGGCCGTTTGGTCTCCTCAGCCGAGGGTTTCCATCTGGTTGGGTTTTTAATTATTTATATGCAATATATATTTATGTGTATTTATCATTTTGTTTTATAGAGGGTTTTGTTTTCAAAGAGTAACTAAATTTTAAACTTAAGTGCAAATATATGTTTAATCATATAAAGTTATTACAATTTTTTTAAATACGAGTAAATAAGGCTTCAACATTTATTTGAAATTATCCGAAATTGAATGTGATTTACGGGCAACAGTATTTTGGCCTACCGATCGGCCCTTTCGAATGTGCGGGCGCACCATTGTACCATGTACCACGTCTAGCCACCATATCTAGCCTTCTATTGTACATGCCAGTGCAGGAAGGAAGCAGAAGTGAAGAGGAAGGAAATACTCCCAGCTAATATAGTCAACTAAATGTGCGTTTTGGCATAACCACCACGCATTTTGCATTTAAAAGATAAAAGGGACAGAATATTAAAATATTTTTTAATTAATTTTTCTTCCCCATTTTCCTATAAGTATTACTTATTCTAAATCTTCTCTGCAAAGGACATTGTTCTGCGTCCATTCAATGTTCGCCTAAGAACCAACACTAACAAAAAATACCTTTTTAAGTCCGAAATTATACATAATTGTATGTAAGAACAATAACTCTTGACGGATACTTCCGAAAACAGAGATATTAGCAGTTATCGTTGAGATTTTGATTTTTGAAGTTATCTTTTATTTTTATGAAATATTGCTATGTTATTGCTAATGTAAGCGGTATATAAAACTCAGGTTGTGATTAGGTATTTATTTTATTCATACCAATTAAATACAATTTATACACTCATTTGGCAACCAAAGTAATGATTGACATTATCAATCATCATTAAATTCGAGAAAAATATTATTCAAGAATTGAGCAGGAGGTTGATATTTTCTTTGTATCGGGCCTACCTTAAAACCATATTATAGTTATAGCATGGGCGCAGCAACCTATAGTTCTGCGCCCTACAACACAATTACAGCAATATTTTTACTGCCTCCCTGCCAATTTCTGACTCATCAATTATAATATAGGTATACAAAATAAGTTTTACTACTAATAATATGGTTTCGGGTGCTTTCCAACACCTATGGTCACGGGGGACTGAGGTGACTGACGTCCTGATGTCATTGTTAAAACCGGAGTAACTTCAGCTTTTTTAATTATTGCTTATGGTCCGACCTATGCAAATGAACTGACTATATCTTGAAGTCTTGCAGTGGTATGCTGGGGTTTAGTTTTAATTTATTGATTATAGGGTCCCAAGCAGGCGGTAGTATCCAGCCTCCTTCTCTATTGAAATTAGGATGTTTTTTAATTTCATTAGCCTCATGTATCATCCTTAGTAGGAATCGGTGTTCTTTCGCGAGGATTTGTGGTCTATCAAATCTGATGCAATGATTGGGGCCGTCAAAGATATGACACACACTGCAGACTTCCCAGAACGTCGATGCTTCAGATCAGCTATATGTTCGCTTTACGCGGGTTCTAATTGATCTTTTTGTTTGTCTTATATAAGAGAGACCACATTCACAATCAAGCTTGTACACTCCTGCATCTTGTAGAGGAATATGACACTTGACGGATGGTAGGAACTAGGAACTGACTAACCTTCTTCGGCGGCTTGCAGAATGTTTTAATAGAAACTCGCTTTAAGATGTAGCCAATCTTGTGTGTGACACCTCTGACATATGGTAGTACAGAAGGCACACGCTCGACTGTGACCGGCTCGACACAGTCATTGTGACGTAGGCGCGGGACCCGAAGCTCGTTGTCGTGCAGAACTTGCTTGACGTGCTGAAGCTCGACGACCAGGTGTTTGCTGTCACAGACCCCTCGTGCTCAGTGTAACAAAGATTTGCTCACTGTAGCTAACTGTGAAGAATGGTGGTGAGTTTCACCGTTTAAACATCGGTTTGTATGGGTCTTTTTTCTATATACAGTGAGACCTATGGTGTTGTTAGGATTTCGGATGACTAACACCAAAACCAGTAAATTGAAATGATTGATATTATCAATCATCATTACTTTCGAGCAAAATATTATCCAAGAATTGAGCTGGGGGTTGATATTTTCTTGGTATCGGGCCCAACTTAAATACCATATTATGGTCATAACATGGGCGCAGCAACCTATAGTTCTGCGCCCAACAACACAATTACAACAATATTTTTTATTGCCTCCCTCCCAATTTCTGACTCATCAACCAAAATGTATACAAAATAAGTTTTACTACGGATACGGCATTTTCAGAATGTAGTAAATGTAATTCACTAATCAACTCCTGTTCGACCTCCCTGCAAACTTCAACAACATAATTACCGTTTTGACGAACATGCTCGCCATAATATGACTGGGCTTGTTTTATTTGGTAAATCCCTAATGATATTAAAATCAAATCATTATATTCCAATTGTGGAAACTACGAAGGTTATTTATTTGAACCGTCATGCTTTCAAACTGGGCCCGTTTTTTATTTAAATTATTAATTTCTACGAAATCTGCCAATGTATTTTCTGTGAAAAATTTTTCTTGGATGACCGAAACAATTTCTCTTGCATCATCTCTGTCAACTAAGAGAGGATGAAACTTATTTAACGCTGCCGCGACCTTGAAATCTGCTATTAAATGTTTTGAAGCTTTATTAAAATACTCCTGTCTAAACAATTTAAACTCTCTTTTAAATCTCCCATTCACTACCTCTACGACCCACCGACATAAAGTCACTTTTCGAGTTTTTTTCTTTTGTCACAATTCCAAATGATGTGTAAAACATGGCGATTGATTTCCGCTTGGACTTCATGACTTCTAGCATTTGTCAATGAACGACCACATATTAGGCATATGTTTTGGTGAGCCACAATAAGAATAGAGTCTTGTAAGTCTTCTGCTATTGCACTTCTCTCAGTTATCAATGTGTGACACGCTTCACAAATATAGTCCGTTGAAGTGGCCTATAATATTAAAAATATTATTATGAGTGGTTCCTTGGCTTTAAGTAATAAAATGAAATGTTTCTTATTTTGAATCAAGCTGAACACTTACCACTCTTGGTGTAATCTGTTGTTGTACTTGTAACAGAATTGCATTATCCTCTAAAATATATCGTCCCATTCTTATCAAATTAATATGACAGTTAATGCATATCAATGGTACACTCGAGGCCGCAGTACCTCTTGATGATGATGGCAAAGAGTAATGTTTTGTAGCTCTTTCAGCTCTTTGCCAGCAAGGATGACAAATTAAATGTGATCCACGAACCTAAAATCAAATAAAAATTCAAATATAAAAATTGACAAATAAACTAAATCATTTTAATCTCTAATAAATCGATGAACGCTGGCTACACGCACGAAAAAGGATGACTCATTTTAACGTTACGTTATTGTAACGTTAGGATCGGACCGAGAGCGTTGCACGAGCGAGCAAAAGGCCCGATTGGCTTGCGCCACATCTATCTCTCTTCTACAAAGTATGCAATCATTTCATCAATGTTTTGTTATGACGTTGTCACGTTAAACCGTCGTCCGTAAACTGACTTTACAGACAACCAATTCTTATTTATTCATGTATTCCTGTAATTTTAATTTAAAATATAATATAAATTTATATTTATATAATTAATTTATAAATCGAACGAGAAACTGGGGGCTGTGTGTACTATCAAAAGCATGCGAATGATCTACCCTCAAACTGTAATAACGGTAGAGGCTGATAATTATCGCGTGGGCGACCCTGTTATCGCGCCGGATAACACGCCGTGCATGATTACAGACGAAACACGTTGATTCTTGTATCATGAGCCATAACACACCTTGTAATTTTATCGTTAACCTTAGATTATTAGGTAAATTACACGAATGTCAGAAAGTCAGGTTTGTTACATCTGAATTGATAGTTTAAAAATTTCTGATAGCAATCACGTTATGCAAATGCAGTTGATATCGATGACATGGCTACTATAACCAACCTAAAACAAAGAAGGTTACACAAACGTTGTCACGTCCGAGGACTAAGATGGAGGCCTCACTACCCATAATTACGTTGGTTCTCTTTATCTTTGAGACCGAAACACGGCAATGCAACCACTGCTATTTGGCGGTAGCCTGTATCCATCTATTTCGTACAAGTCTTAACAGGTCGTCACTACATATAGTCGGGAACGCACTACACTTTGTTTATCACACTCGAGAATATTTCTTCCCCATCGTTTGTTGGTTCAAGGGTGTTCAGTGTCGAAACTTCTATCGAGACACTGTAACAAAGGTTACTGGTGGTAAGATTCTTTTTCTGCCTGGAAATTCGTCTGAATAGGTACACATTTCTCTTACATATTTCTGCCACCAAGCAGCAGTCCATATACTGCTGTGTTCCGACCTGAAAGGTTCCACCAGGACCACGGTTCTTTGTTTGAGGTTAGTTGCAAATTTTCATGAACTGCAGTACCCATTTGCCACATGCCATCGTGTAGACTGTAAGCTCGTTTGTCACTTCAGATTTATTTAAAAAAATCCCTCTTAAAAAGAAGTAGACATTTCCTTTTATTTTCCTAGTGCAACACTTAATAAAGCTGTTAAGAGAGGCGCATTCAATCGTTTGGGTAGTCGAGGGCGCTTAGCACCTGCCTCGCACTTAACCCGTTTGCAAAACGCTGACTGCCTGCATATGGACTCTTTCACGTGTTAACTTGGCTGAATAGTGACGATCATGCATCACATCGATATATAAATACTTTAAACAAGTGTATAATTTTAGGTTTCAATAACCCTGTAATTATAAAAGTGACAATAAATAACATTTTAATACGTTCGACTACTGGGCCCAAATCTTCGATAATTTATTAGATAGATATTCCGTCGTTCACATCGTTCATTCATTCGGAGGGTTTCCAGAGTTCACATATCATCGAAATGTATTTTTGTTATCAATTTATAAGACATGCAGGTTTCTCCAACGACGCTCTTATTCATTGCCGATGATGTGATAAATCAGGACTGTAAATAGGAATTAATATTCTTGTTACGGTCGTGCGGATATCGAGTTCGAGTAGGTTGCTTACTATATACTCGCTACTACTATCAAATTCTCACTAAGCGCTTGGCCGCTTTTTCGTGCCGTAACTGGGCTGGCTGTCCAGGGGAATTTCTGTCAGCCATCTCTTCGATCTCTGCACAGGGAGGACGACTCACTGGCCCACACCGCAAAGGAGAAAGCCGATCTTCTAGGCTCTTTCTTTGCGTCTAACTCGACTCTCGATGACGGGGGAGTACGCCGCCGACCATCCCGCGGTGTGAGTGCTCCATGCCGGAAGTGCACTTCACTCAGCGCTCGGTTCGCAAAGCACTCCTCTCCCTGGACATCCATAAGTCGAGTGGGCCTGATGGAATCCCCCCAATTGTGCTGAGGACGTGTGCTCCAGAGTTGGCACCGGTTTTAACGCGTCTTTTCCGGTACTCCTACTCCCTAGGCGTAGTCCCAAAATCATGGAAGACGGCTTTCGTCCACCCGATCCCTAAAAAAGGCGACCGCTCAGACCCGTCCAACTACCGGCCTATCGCCATCACCTCCTTGTTCTCCAAAACAATGGAGTCCATTGTAAACTGCCAGCTCATGAGGTACCTTGAGGATCACCAGCTGATTAGTGACCGCCAATACGGTTTTCGCCGTGGTAGGTCAGCTGGTGATCTTCTGGTCTACCTAACTCACAGATGGGCGGAGGCAGTAGAGTCCAAGGGGGAGGCATTGGCCGTTAGTTTGGACATTGCGAAGGCCTTCGATCGGGTTTGGCACAAAGCGCTTCTTTCGAAGCTCCCTTCCTATGGGCTTCCCGAGAAATTGTGCGATTGGATCACCAGTTTTCTTGCAGATCGGAGCATCAAGGTCGTTGTAGACGGTGCAAGCTCCGATTGCAAGCTTATTAATGCTGGTGTTCCACAGGGCTGCGTGCTATCGCCAACGCTGTTTCTTCTGCATATCAATGATATGTTGCAAACCCGTAGCATTCATTGCTATGCAGATGACAGCACTGGTGATGCTCTTTACACCGGCCGAGCAAATATTTCTCGGGAAAACGTCTCTGAGTGCCGGGACAAACTTGTGTCTGAAGTCGAGTCTCTGCTGGACAGAGTCTCGGATTGGGGGCGACTAAATCTAGTCCAGTTTAACCCCCAGAAGACACAAGTTTGCGCGTTAACCGCTAAAAAGAACCCCTTTGTCGTATCCCCTCAGTTTCAAGGCACTCCCCTTGTTGCCTCAGCCAGTATCGGAATCCTCGGCGTCGACATATCGAGTGACGTGCAGTTTCGTGGTCACTTGGAAGGGAAGGCCAAATTGGCCTCTAAAAAGCTTGGCGTGCTCAGCAGAGCGGGACAGTATTTCATGCCGGCACACCGCCTGCAACTTTACAAGGCGCAGGTTCGGCCGCTCATGGAATACTGTTCCCATCTCTGGGCTGGGGCTCCCCTGTACCAGCTCCTTCCACTTGACCGCATCCAGCGCAGAGCGGCTCGAATCGTCGACGACCGAGTGCTTTCCGATCGGCTCGATTCACTGGCGCTGCGAAGAGATGTTGCATCTCTTTGCGTATTTTATCGCATCTATCACGGGGAGTGCTCTGAGGAATTGTTCGGATTAATCCCAGCCGCCAAATTTCGTGAACGCACTACACGGCAAACGTCCCGATACCATCCACACCATCTGGATGCTTGGCGGTCCACCACTGTACGTTTCAAAAGGAGTTTTCTTCCGCGTACAACCTCTCTGTGGAATAATTTACCACCGGTGATTTTCCCGGACCGATACGACCTGGGGACCTTCAAGAAAAGAGCTTACTCCTTTCTAAAGGGCCGGCAACGCACCTGCAATTCCCCCTGGTGTTGCGGTTGATCATGGGCGGCGGTAGTCACTTAACATCAGGTGAGCCACATGCTCGTTTGCCCCCCTCTTCTATAAAAAAAAAAACTCTAATTCTATAATTTTATAACTATAATACACTACTTTAACACCTACCATTGGGTAGAATCGTAGTCAAGTACAAATTTAGAATACATTAATAAAAGTTTTTGGTGGCTTTTGACAGCTTGTGTTGTGTTTTATGGCAGTGCTGCCCACCTCTAGCAGGGGTCCGCTGGAAACGAATCTATATCTTTAATTTATATAGAATTATTTATTAGTATTAAAGTTATTAAAATTAGAATATTTTACACGTTCAATGTTAGAGATATCTGCAGGATCACTATCTAAACATTGATTTTTTAAACACGTTTCGATAGTGTATGTATCATGGACAAACATCTAGCCCCGAAAAAATTGTTTATTTTCTAGGCCTTCGTATGGGCTTAAACCGTAAGTATGTCGATATTTAACTAATAAGCTACCTCTGCCTATCACTACGTGTATCGAATAGCGCTAAGTAGTCGTTTGACCTGAAACTCCGATATACCATCGAGCACGCGCGCCCACTTATCACCTTTTACCGTCGTTCGTTTCTAGAGAGCTTTACTGGGTCACTGGAGCAGGTGATTTAGGTCGATCATGTATCGTTTAGCCCTGAAACGATCAGCTTAATGGCTCTAAAGATAAAAGATCTTAGTATGTATACTTTATACGCCTATTGTTCTTAGTTTTTTGTTCTTTTTTTACTCCACGTGGTAGCCAAGCATACGGCTCACCTGACGGAAAATATTGACCGTCGCCCATAAACAACTGCAAAATCAAGGAAATCGCAGGTGCGTTGCCGTCTCTTTAGTGTAGGCTCATTTCTTGAAGGTCCTTAAGCCGTATCGGTCCGGAAAAATCGCCGATAGTAAACGATTCCACAAAGAATTCGTGCGTGTAAGAAAGCTGTCAGTAAGTCGCACTGTGGTGGACCGCCAACCATCCAGATGATGTGGATGGTATTGGAAATCGCGATGTGCGTTGTTGGAATTAGGCGGCTGAAATAAATCCGAACAATTACTCTAAGCACGTGGCAAATGCGACAGCAATTGCAAAAGAGTGCAACGTCTCTTCAAAGCGCCAGTGAATCGAGCAGATCGAAAAGAACTCGGTCGTCTTTTATTCGAACTGCTCTTTGCTGGATACGTTCAACTGAAGGGAAATTAGAAGGAAAATTG